TGCCTGGGCGCATGAGCCACCCATTCCATCCGTGTTAACCTCGTGTGACCGCCAACCTTCAAAAATTCCTTTCCTGTCACCCTCTGTGCTTTACTCCTGCCTGCTGGCTGTTCCTCAACCCCTAACCAGGCGACTACTCTTCTCGAGCACCGCGGCTCTTCCAGAGTCTTTACTCGGAAGCTCACAAAAGCCCTCCTCACAGCGCGGGCGCCCCCGGGCCTTCCCCGCCCCCTAATCGCCGCCGCCGCCGCCCCCCTGCTGGGCCACCTTCTCAGCGGCTGGCTGGCGCGGGAGGTCTGGCCGGACCCCATTACATGGCTGCTACGTGCCGAGCGAGCCGTACTGCTGACCGGGGCAGCGCGCCACGCTGCTGAGACAACGGTCAGCACGGGTGCTGCTGCTGTGGCGGCGTCTGAGGGTACGGATGGCTCGGCTGCGGTTGCAGCAGACGGCATCCTGCACGATGACGGCAGCATGGGGCTGAGTGCTCCTGCAGGCTCTGGCCTGGGGTTAGGCCTGGGGCTTGGAGTGCTGGCCGCGGGCCCCGCGGAACGTAACCTGCATGCGCTGGTTCGCAGCCATGCAGCACGCCGATGGTACGGCATCGTACATACCGTCGTACAGAAGGAGGAGGCGAGTACGGCTCCGTACATTGTAGTTGTGCGCCACGGCGACGAATCGCATGCCGAGATGTGCCGGCAGGTGGTGCTAAAGGCGGCTGCTGACGTGGCGATCGGCATGGCGGCGGCCTTGGCGGCGGAGGCGAGGGAGCTCTGCCGTACGGCGAAAGACGCGGCTGACGCCGCCGCCGCCGCCGTCTCCGCTGACGTCGTCGCCGCCGCTGCTGGGCTTCTGCGGCCGCTTGCCCTCCGAGCACTGCACCTGGGTCTCTTCACGCCCGCAGCGCACCCGCTGTTGCGGTTGTTCGTTGCCCCTCTTTGCTCCTCCTCCGCTACCACCACCGCCACCGCTGGCACACCTGGGGATGCTGGTGCTGGTGGTGCTGCCGCTGCAGCTGTTCCTGTTGCGGCGGCGGCGGCGGTGGCGCCGGTAGGCAGCGGCACGGATGCCCCCGGCGCATCCGCATCTCCCTCCTCACCTTCCGCAACCGTGTTGTCAATGTCCCCCGATGGGACGCATACGGTGGCGGCGGTGGAGGTGCTTCCAAGTCACCAGCGAGTGGACCACACCATACCCCTGCCACCACCACCGCAGCTGCTGCTGCAGCAGTCCTCCTCCCCAACATCATCAGCATCATCATCAGCAGCAGCTGCTGCTGGAGATGGCCGGCAACAGCAGCAGCCGCATCAGCAGCAACACTCAAAGCGCTACGTGCTGTACAGCCTGGCGCCAGGAGCTGTGTACGACATGGAAGGCCTGCTGTCGTACCACTACCAGTGCCGCACAAATACTGCACCACAGGTTTCGTTGTCGTCAGCATCACCGGCATCGTCGCCGCCACCGCAGCAGCATCCTTCCTCGCTGACGGCGCCAAGCTTGGAGACCCTCATAGCTCGTTGTCCGGTCGCCGTACAGGAGGTCATTTATGCTTGGAAATGGGACCTGGCTAAGCTCCCGGCAGCTAGCGCCCCGGCTACCGCCGCTGCAGGAGCTGCTGCTGGGGGTGCACACTCACCACCACAGCAGCAGCAGCAGCACATGCAGCACAAGCATGAGCCTGCAGCCACATCGTCACAACCACATCCAGACAAGCAGCAGCCCCCTGCTGCTGCTTCTCAGGAGGCCTCTGAACAGCACCAACGAGAGGCATCTGCGAAACCCTTGCCCCCGCTGTCCCCTCCACCGACTCCCACGGCGACAGCACCGGCGGCAGTAACAGCCGCGGAGGGCGCGAAAGGTCCGCCATTGGCACCGGCAGCGCAGCCCACGTCGCCAGCCAAGGCGGCCGTAACCCCAGCTGCAGCTGCTGCAGGGCCGCAAGTGGAGCCGCCGCAGAGCAGCAGCAGCAGCAACAACACCATGCAGCCACCCCCGCCACCGCCACCGCCGCCACCGCCGCCGACGCCGCCTCAGCAGCGGCACGACCACCCAGCAGGCGGCGGCGCAGCACCCCTGGCCACCATGCCTGCCACGCAAACGACAATGGACGTCGGCGTCTTGCGCAGCGGCGGTGGAGGCATTCAGGATAGTCGTGGCAGCAGCAGCGGTGGCGGTGGTGGCGGTGGCGCCAAAAGGGGCGGTCGACAAGGTGACCATAATTCCCCTGCGGTCGTAACCGCAAGCGCTACGACAACCGAGCAGCGCAGCAGCGACTACGGAGGCGCAGCGACCCAACTAACGGGAGCCCCTGCTACGGCAGCGGCAACGCAAGCGGCGCATGCGACCCTTGCGGCGGAGGCCGCACAAGCACAAGAAGCGGCCCTAGCAGGCTCCAGGCGTCCGCCTCCGCCTCCACCAGGGTTTGCAGTGCAAGGCCCGCAGCAGCAGCCAACGCGCCCACCAATGGGGGCCCCTGGTGGAGGGGCTGCGGCAGCGGCAAGCAACAGCGGTTGGCCCGCGGTGGTGCCGGTGGATGAAGGAATGGGCGCTAGGGGCAGCGGCGGAGGCAGCAATGCGGACCTGGGGGCAAACATGACAGGCACAGCAGCAAACAGAAGCGAGGATGGCCGTAAGGGCCCGAGCTTTGCCGCTGTGGTTGCTGCTGATGGTGGCGGTGGCGGTGGCAGCGCTGGCAATCGCCGCCGCCGCGACAGCAGCCGCAGCAGCAGGGAGGGCACATGGTCGGGCCCGCATGACCTGCAGCAGCAGGTTGCAGCAGCCGGGCCTCATCAGCTGCACTGCTACTCCCAGCAGCAGCCTCAACGTCGACCCCAGCAGCAGCAAAACCAGTGGCAACAGCAGCAGCAGGCATACCCACAGCAGCGGCCTCAGCCTCATCCCGAGCAGCCGGGAGCTCCACCGTTGTCACCACCAGCGGAAACCCTACCATCGCCGTCAATCACCCTGAGGCGGAACTCCAAGCAATCTTCGCCCTCTGCTACTAATGCTCTGCACCCGCTTATGAAGACTCTGTTTTCCCAACAGACGGGAACCCCACAGCAGTCGCCAGCTGGAAACCAGCAGTATCAGCAGCAGCAGCAGCAGGGCACATCACCACGCCTGCAGGAGCCGCCTCGAGCGCAACTGCAAACCCAGGCGCCGCCGCCGCCGCAGCAGCAGCATTCGCAACAACCGCCCCGGCAACAGCCGCAACATCCACTGCAGGGTGGGAGTCCTGGTCGTCCCGGCAGGTCATTTGAGGCAGCACCAACGGCAGCACCAGCAGGGATTATTCCTGGGGCGGACACCAGTTTCAAGGCTGCCCTTATGAACGGCACAAACGGCAACAGCTGCTGCAGCAGCAGCAGCAGGAGCCCGACTCCGGGTGCTTCAGCCGGTGCGGCCATGACCCGCGGCAATGGCGGCGGCGGTGGCGGCGGCGGTGGCGGCAACGGAAGCAGTGGGCGTGTGGTTGCTGGCCCCTCTCGAAGCAGAGGAAGCGGCGGCGGTCCCAACAATGGCGGCGGTGGCAGCGGCTGCGGGAACGGTGGAGGCAACGGCCGCAGCAACGGCAGCTTGGGAAGCAACAGTGGTGGTGGTGGAGGAGATGGAGGCGGAGGAGGTGGGGGCCGCAGCGGCGGCAGTGGCAGCGAGGACGGCAGCCGGGGTGCTGGCGGCTGGGGAGGTACCGGAAGTGCTGGCAGCCGTGGCAGGTACATGGGCGGCACACGTGGCGCGTAGATAGGGGTGTGGCTCAGTGCTGGAGTACTGCAAGTATGCTTACTATGATTGGTCGTACGTGTGGCCGTACGGCCGCGCGTGTGGTCGTACGTGGTCGTACTTGTGTTGAGCAATTAGGCTGCGTACTGTCAGGACATACATGCTGGCCCAAGAGGCGATGCGCTGGCCGTGTATGTAGCCGCCACATAGCAACAGAGCCGCGTAACTGACACTGACCATCCATGAGTGTATGGCTAGCGGAAGGCCATGTATGTGTAAACGGTGTCCTATGAGGAGCTGCGCAAACGCATAACGGAGAAGATTATCGCCGAGAGTACGGTAGATGGCTTGGGCTAACGTTTCCAGGCCTGAGGACATCCATGTATTCGGGGAACTAACATGGACTGCCCCGGCCCCTAAAGGCAATGCCAAGGGTTGTATGAGGTACATTCGTCGGTCATGGTGGGCGTTTGGTTGGGAGCTGATAGCTGTTCGTTGCAAATAGCTTACAATCTTGTCAAAGTATGTGCCTGAGCTAGGTATGCGTGTATGTAGGGAGCAGTCGGGGCAGGTGCACAGAGGTGCTCCTGGCCGTGACTAGTTACAAGCTTACAGCATGGAGTGGTACGTACGGCAGGGACACCTCGTGCGCTGTTGGCACTAACAGCCTGCCTTGCTGTACTGGGCTACAGCGTGGATTGAACCCGTTTTGAAGGGGCGTTTCTGTCGCCCTCTGGTTGCCGTGGATGCCATGCGGCATTTCATGCTTGCATGGCTATTTTTGGCGCTTTACAGTTGAGTTGTCTTTGTCCGTTGCTTCTGCAAATGGCTGCAAGGCCTTATTGATATTGTAACGGAACATTCCATGTACCATGAATGCGCGGCGGCGAGGGCACGCGGCGTGCATGCTGGGAGAGAGGGACGTGGGAATGGGCGGTTGGCGGGTTTGCAACATACCAAGTGTTGCCTACTCCTTTCTCAGCTGTGTACTGCACGCACGTCTTTTACATCCGCGCCGGAGCCCTTTGTAGCAGTTCTAATGCCTAAATCCGGAGTTGTTCGGAAACCCTACTACATTTGCCGACATCGTCGGTGTACATGATAACTCACACGGCCACCTGTCGGAGACGTTGTCATTTCGCCTGTCTGCATATCGCATGTAAGCTGAGGGCCGACGGTTTTTCCAAGGTTCACGGTGAGCACGGTAGGCATGCCGTAGGGGATGAGTTGGAACTTCGCATTAATAAGCAGGGTCGTCGGGGTCAAGCATAAAAGGAACCATTCTACCCTTACGGATAGCATCCGAACATAACACATAGTATAGTAGCCTGGAAACCACTGCAAGTTCGTCCAATATTTGCGTGCGCCTGAGCTTCGCATTCTTCACGGTCCGGTCATACATCTCTGACCCAGCAACCAATAGCTGCTAAACAATACTTGCATATCTCGCAGTACACTAGAACGCAAAATAGTAGATATGCCGTCGCTTTCGCCTCGAATTCCCTTCCTCAGCACCAACCGCTCTTCAGCGCCTGCCAGGCCTCGGCCACTGGCACCTAACAGCTCTCCATATGTTACGAAATGTGGTCGCCGTGTGAAATCACGCGAGCACCAGCTGGGCCCTCTCCTGCACCATCACCCGTCGAAGCTGTTTTCGTCACCCGGAGAGGATTGCAAGCCGCTAAGGGCTGCCATCTTGTCTGTCTTGGGAAATACTACTCTTGGTCTTGCCGCTGCTATCACCCTGGCAAACCTGTGTCCCGAGTCTATCAGGAGCATTTTCGACGCAGCTCATGCGCAATCGTCACAGCAGGACGCCAGCCAAGCCTCGCTTCCGATACCTTACTCTGGCAGTCCTCATCAGGTACGTCTTGCTGATCGATCTGAATTTGGGTGCTGTTGGCTTACAAAGGCAGTTGCATGCAGCCATCGGCGGTTGCATACGGTAGCTTTCCAGTTGGAGGTATTACTGGTTGCAAGAAAAGATCCAATTTTTTACTGTGTTGCTCCTTCAATTTTTCCGGTCGCTCCGGGCCTCTTCACTTGCCCTTCGCATTAATTGCACAACTCCCGCTCCCTCCACATCTTGCACGCCCCGCAGGTGGCCTTGTCCGCACCCTCCACCCTGTTCTCCTCCCCCAACACCGCTTCCACCTTCAGCTCCGCGGCGTCCCCTCCCACCACCTCCCCAGCCTCCGCCTCTGCCACCTCACCCCTCGTCGCTACCACCACCTCAACCAGCGCCTCCTACCTCCCCAGCAACCTCAACATCCCAACCTCCCTGGACCATTACTTCTCCAGCCTAACCGCCGCAGCCTCAGCCGGCAAGCTGCACGTCACGCTCTTCGTCTCCCAACCTGGATGGCAACGCCACAGCGACAGCATCCTGCGCATGCTAGGGTCACAAGGCTGCGGGCCTGCCAGCCTCGCCTCATTCGCCTTCGTTCCGTTGGGCCCTAACTACCTGCAGCGGGCTCGTACGGCGGCTGCTGTCATGCAACGGGAGCAGGGTGGCCTGCACGACAACCGGCTGTCGTACATGGCGGGAAAGTACGGCATGGATGTTGTGTTGGCAACGGGCATTGCGGCGCTGGCTGGTGCCGGTTGTGGAGGCGTGATGGACACTTGCCCGTTCATGCTGATGTACGACAACACTGGGCTGCGGGCTACGAGATCTGCAGGCGCCGCTGCGGGTACTGCCGCTGGAGTTGCTGGGAGCGACGGCGGCGATGATGGGGCGTCGTACGGCGGTGACGGTGTGTCGTACAGCGATGCGAGGTGCTGGACGGTGTCGCCTGCTTGGCGCATGCGGCAGGATCTGGACGAGCATGTACGGCGGCGCCTTGCGATCCTCGCATTGGCACCAGCAGCAGCAGCGGCACTGCCACAATCGCTTTTTGTGTACGGCAGTAATGGGCAGCTAAAGCAGCGGCAGCAGCTGCTGTACGGCAGGGATGGCGTCGGCGAAGGTGCTGAGGCGGCGACTACCGTGGTCGCGCGTGAAGCGGCTTTTGCGAGTGCATGGTAGTTGCATGCTCGCTCCTCGCGACGAGGTGCAACGAGAGACGCATCTGGTTGGCTTGGGTGCGGACGCAGGTGATAGATGGTGCAAAGCATTGGCATGTTTTGACCCATGGGTCACTAATGAATAGGCAGGTACGCGATAGGTAGTGCCCTCAGTTTGCTGCGTGCTGCTGTCTTAAAGACTGTTATATGATGCTGCTGGTCATTAGGCGGTATCGTGTTTGCGGTGCGAACCTTTTGCACTATATACATATAGGCGCACCAAATAGTTTTGTCATTGGCATAGCAACCATTGCAACCGCATATCAGGGCTGTCGCCCTTGGCATGTCAGGCCTTGCAACATGGGCATCGCGTCGTGCGGTGACTCGATACTGTATCGCGTGGCGGGGTGACTTTTGACGTACATAACACATACATATGGAGGTGGTAAGATGGAGGTCGACCTTCATCGTACAGGAGAAGTCGTTGGGCTATCTAATACTTTGCCTACACGTTTTTGTCTGTTTGGTTTTTGACGGAGCAAGCTTTAGGTTTTTTTGCTCCGTCAAAAGAGGTTGCGTGATTTAGTTCGTGAGCACGCATGTGCCTAGCTACCTAGCTCCCAGGGACAACACGTTCGGGCGTGAATATCGAGATCTAGCAAAAACACAACCTTTTTGTGTGCTGGGCGGGCGGTTTCCAAGACAAAACAGAACCCAGTTTGGAAGCTCCGTCATGTCTGGCCTTATTGTACAAATACATCACTGCATTAAAGCGGTGCTACATATACAGACATGCACCAAGGGGCAACCCTTGGAGAGCTGCAGTCTCTTGTGCGTGTTCTCTCTGTTTCATTTCCCCTCGTTGGACCTTCCCCGTTGATTGGGGCAGCCAAACTACAAGTGCACGTTTCTTTGTATTTCGTTGTAACTAGAGTTTTGGTCGTGGGGCAACTGTGATCAGGATAGGACAAGGAGCCCATTTGCGCATTCCCCAGCTGTATAGTTGAAGTTGGCTGGTTGTGTACTGCTTGTTGAAGGGACTTGGGCTTCTCTTACTTGGTGTGGCGGAGTTTGGCGTGCCGTTGCCGAGGGCCTCTTATTCGTCCTGGCATGCTTTGTTGTGGTACGACAGATGAGGCATGGGTAGTGGTACGACAGAACGGCGGTAATTATAGTTGTATGACATGCTGTTGTGCGTTATCGTGCGAGATCCATTGCAGTTTGGATGCACGTTTGGTAATTTGCGTCATCATGGATGTTCTTGTAGTATTGGCGCTCACTCCGCGGTGCTGCCTTAGCTGTATCGTTTTTGGTCAAATCGTGTACCGGTAGTATCACGGGGGAAATTGTGCACATCTTGGAAGGCTACATTTCTATGCGCATGCCAAACAAGCAGGAGGGGCAACTGCAGCTGTTTACCTGGTGTAGGGTATCTTGACCCTACACTAACCTCCTGTCCGAATCATGTCATGCGTCAGTGCTGTGTGTAATACCTATTTGTAAGTTCCCGTCGGCAGTGTGGCGTCCATTGTTAACGCCCCCACTCACATCCCATCATCCAAAGCAGGATCAGTGTTTCCGCCGGTGGCGTCAGCAACACGAGCATGCCCTCATGACCGGTTAGCAGGCGTCATATTCCCTCCAGCTACCGCACATGCATATCAACTGGCCTCCCTCCCCCGAAGCACCGTCTCCCTCGGGCTCCAAAGGAAAACTGCGGAAAGCCGGCTCGGTCCATTGTCGTACAACGCAAGGAAGAACTTTAGGCGTAGGGCGCACCACATATGCTGGTGTGGCGCATGGATTGGTGCAAGCGGGGTGTCTCTTAGTGCTCGCCAGCGAGGGCGCGTGCCGGGGCCACGGAGGGCGCGTGTCAAGGCTACGGAGGGCGCAAGCCATGCTAGCCATGCTGGGCGTGCCCGGCTGACGTCATGGTCCGTACCATTGTATTACTGTAACCCTCGCTCCCTAAAGACAGCTATAAGTAAACATTCTAGGTGCGTTGCGCACTAATTGACTGTACACAATGTGCAACATTGCGGTCAAGTTTGTACCGAACACATCCCACTAAACGTCACTGCTTTGGCTTTCTCGAGCTCGCAAACACGCTACAGTAGACCTTATTCTGTTATGATGCGACTCGCCTGTAGGGCTCCGTGCAAAAGTGCGCGTCCTGTTTGCCGCGTGCGCCATGTAGGGCGAACACGCCCTGCCGTTCTAGGGCCTGGGAGTCTTAGGCCCCACCGCTGTCTGAAATGCAATGCATTTGGAGAACAGCAAGGTACGTCACACGGCTCGAAGGAAAGCGTTATGTGAGAATGGATGGGTACTAGTTTGCAACATTACCTATAGTATGCTACCGCTTCTCCAGACACATCCTCGGGTGAAGAGGACAATACGGATTATGCTGCTGTAGCAGCCAACTTAAACGCTCTGCTGGCGAAGTCAGTCCAATCGAGGATGACGGGCAAGGACCTACGTGCGCTGGTTGTCCAGAAATGGGGCCGGAGCTATGACGTGAGGCTATCAAAGTTTCACGGACGCATGTATCTTCAAGGTGTGCTTGTTGACTCTATTGCCGTTGCTCCCGCATTGCCCCACCTTAATTGCTGAATTGTGTGTGGTCGCAGTAATGTGGAAGTTTCTTGAGCAGCAGTCTTTCCCGCTCACCGAGGCCCAGTACATGCAGCAGCTTGACGCGGTTGCTGAGTACCTGACGGATTGGGGAGTTGCGGACACGGTGCGCTGGGTGTGGACGGAACACCCTGGGCGGGGCAGGGCACCAAGCCACCGCTTTCACTGAACGCCCTCCATTCCACACGTTGCTGACTATGGTCTCTCTGCGGTAACTCCCATTATCAACCCATGCCTGCACCCTTACGAAAACGAGGGCAGAGGCGTGCTCCAGTGGGACACGAACACGCCTCTCATCATCCCCTACCGCTGTCCCTCCCTTCCTTCCCTCCTCTCCTGCCACCCCCGTCCCTCAACAGGTTCGTCAGGGCATCCTGGCCGCCCGCAAGCCGCCCGGTTACACCGGAGGCGGCAACGCGCGTTGCGTCAGCATCCCCCTGTCGGTTGACCTCGGCGGGGCCCGCAGCGCCGAGTGGAAGTGAAGGGCCAGTGAGGCAGGGAAGAGGGGATTAGAGAGATAACTTAGTAAAGGAAGGAAGGAACCAACCGTGTGACAATGCCCTACCATGGGGAGTGAGGAAAAGGAGTGAAGGGGTGCTCGTTGCGGGGGCTGGGGTGCGGCGTTTGCTGGGGAGTTGTTGGGCGAGGTCGTACCTCCCGTGCATGTGACTGTCATTGAAGGTCGAGGTGGGAAGGTGTTGGTCGCTGTCGCTCTCGCATTCGTTCGTAAAGCGCCTAGGGAAGCTGGCCCGCATGGGCCTGGGGGCAAGCGGCTAGTGGGTGCTGGCGGCTGCTGGAGGTGTCTGATGCTGGGGGCTTGGGCTAAGCGGGCTTGTGACGTCAAGCGAGCAGGACGTGCTGCACGATTGCACAGGTTTGTGTTTTGCAGAAGGCTGCAGGAACTACTAGCCCCAGAAGAGGGCCGCGCTGGGGCCAGGGGGCCATGCCATTTCGGTCGATACGCTGTGGATAGAAAGGTTATTACAGGGTGAGCCGTGAGACGCCTCGCTTGGCTTACCGTCTCACTGTTATCAGCCCCTTTAGCTGACTGGTGACGTGGTGGTTGGGCAAGACTGGCGGCTGCTAGGTGGCGTTCACAAACGGTGAACCGAATTGTGTGCTATGTCTTGGAGCCCCGGCTTGTATGTAGCAAAGGGTGTTGCTACTGTACGGCTGTGGGGGTGGCGGTGATGGAGTGTCGGGCATTCGGTGCTGACGCAAGCTGCTGATGCCAGGCATGAAGGGCGCTACTGGGAGGAGGTGCGGTGCGAAGTGGGAGGAGGTGGGACCAGACTCACCTCTTCTCGGTTCCTCCCCCGTTGGGTTGCCCAGTGCATGCGACTGGTTGATGCGGAGATTGTTGTGTTGGATGCATCCCTGGACCGGTATGCATCCCTGGACCGGTATGCATCCTTGAACCGGTATGCATCCTTGGACCGTTGCCGCCCTCCATGCACGCATGCGACTGGGTCGGGATGCAAACAAGCGGTTTCGGTTGCTCCCTCTTGTTCTTTATTGGTTTGGGCTTTGAAGGTATGGCATGCGGACCCTATGCTGCATCTGCATTAGCGTGCACGTGCGGGTGGACGGCGCATTTAGGTCATTGGCTAAGGGCACCCCTTCTGGATGGGTGTTGTACCTGTACACACGTGTACTCTGACCCGCGGGTCTGATTCCTATACGCATACGGTATTTGCTATGTTTGATTTTGTACGTGGGGGTTTTATCATTCGTTGATATTGTAGAAGGCGTCGAGTATCATTGTGCTATGTACAGGGGACTATTTGCTTGCCCCTTGCTATCAATTGTTAGTTGGGTGGTAGCAAGGCATTATACAATGATGTTGTTGACCGTATCACACTAGGTTATCGCTGCTAAACACTGCGCAACCGCGGTCGGGTATGGTGTGGCGGCTTCCGAACAGCGTGTTAAGGTGGCTACATGTTTGCAATTGTTCGCTGAACATACCCCCCCGAATGTTTCCTTTGGGGCAACGGGCAGTACGGCATGCGGTTTCAGATCGTGCATGAGGAGAGTATTAATGCCTGGTCGTGTAATTCACTTGAAGCTGTACAATTTCGTAGTGGGCAAACCCTTATCACAATTAGGACTTTGCTTCTTGGTTGCGTTGGCTGTTGCCAGGTGACCTGCCTGGGTGTACCGGTATACAGCCCACTAAGATTGGACAAGATATGCTTTGCACTTATGTTGTATGTGGCTCACAAAATGCCGGCAAGGCACACTCCTGCTGCCCTGCTTTGCTCTCTGAGAAACTGTAGGGACATGGACGCTGTAGGATTTAGCGGGATACCACATTGTCTCTCCCTGCCCGTTCCGTCTTCAGGTGCGACCCAGAGGTCGCTACCGAGGACGTCACCAAACTCCCCATCCGTTACTTTGCCAGCAATTCCAGTCTCAAGATGAGGTTGGTGGATGTAATCGTCTCCAAATACTGCACCATCCTCAAGACGCTCATTACAGCCCATCCCACAGCGTTATCCGGAGCGCATCTTGACGTTAAAGCATACGCGACGGCGTTACGGGATGTGTTGACTCCGGCATGGAACCAGAACGAAGAGTGGAGGATTATATGCATATGAGTGTTCAGCTTTTTCCGAACGCAGCCTCTAGCCAGTTTTACCCAGTGTACTGTATTAGGAAGCGCCCTCCTTATTGTTGTATCCTTCCGCATAGGGTAGGGCGTTGGCTTCCCGCAGGCGCGGATGGGCGGTCCCCTGGAGCCGGACAAAGCTGGGTCATTGATAGTGTGCTTTCCTCACAAAGACTCTCCCTCTTTCCTTATAGGAAGGTACGTTACTTGTTATTCTATAGCTGCATTATATTTCTGTCCCGAAGTTGGTTGTAAACGAAGGCGGCGGCATCTTGCGTCGCAGGCACGGACACAGCGGGCAGCCATGCAAATCTTCGTGAAGACCCTCACGGGTAAGACTATCACCCTCGAGGTGGAGTCTTCGGACACCATCGAGAATGTGAAGGCCAAGATTCAGGACAAGGAGGGTAAGCAGCGAGGCGGCGCACCTCTATAGCAGCGTTGATGCAGACTTTGTAATTTTGACGGCCCTTTGTCAGTTTAGAAAGGGGTTAAGGCGTAAGCGTGTTCTTGACGGTAAAGGGCTGCGGCGCTGACGGCGCATATTTCTGGTTCTCGTCATTTATTAAACGTCTGGCCTACTATTACTGCAGGCATCCCCCCTGACCAGCAGCGTCTGATCTTTGCCGGCAAGCAGCTGGAGGACGGCCGCACCCTGGCCGACTACAACATCCAGAAGGGTGAGGACGCGGAGTCGCTGTCTTGGCGGTTAATTACTAAAAGATAATTAGTTTCGTCGGAAAATTCAGCGTACGGATGTGTGCTGGTGGCAGTCAGCAAGGCAGCATGCCGGCGATCGGACGCTGTATGTTACCTGGAGCCTTTCGGTCAGCGGGTGCTCTCCAGGAATGGCGCCTCGCAGCAGCTGAATATCCGTCGGCTTATCGGAGCAGCGCTTGGAAGCACTGCCGGGCTGCTTCCAGGCCAGCGCCAGGACTGGCACTTGTACATGTCATGGCGCTTTTGGAGACAGCGGCAGCTTACGTTCCGGCTTGGAACGGCACTAATGGGGTTCCTTTAAAGTGCACCAGCAGCAGCAGCAAACAGTGCCGTGCCTGCTTTGGATATGGTACCAGGGCTCATCCCCACGTGGCTACCAGGTTCCCCGTCCTGTTCAGGCGCCAGCATCCCTGCATCTCAGACGTCAATCCTCAGCGCTGATGCCGACAATCCTACGGGGCACAGTTACCAGCCTTCCCTGCGCCCCTAAGCACGTCTTCCTCTAGCCCATATTCTTTCCTCACCACCCGTGCCCATCCCGTTGCTTTGTCCCCCACAGAGTCTACGCTCCACCTGGTGCTCCGTCTGCGTGGTGGCATCATTGAGCCCTCGCTGCAGGCCCTGGCTCGCAAGTACAACCAGGAGAAGGTCATCTGCCGCAAGTGAGTAGTTGAATCCTCATGAGCTACTGGGGTAGGGTTGGGCACGGTGGGCAGGTCCATAACGCTGGAGATGTTGAGCCCAGGAGGGATTCGCGGATCGGAGGGATTTGAGACGTTGCAATAGGTCCTAGTGGCCGAGCTGAAAGGCATGCTTGGGTTGTGGCAAGCCTGGAGGAGAACCCGTTGCCCATTGCGTCAGCAATCCGGCAAACGAAAAGTGTTCTTTGCTGCATGTCCTGATGTTACTGGTGGTGTCATTGCATGCTTTCGACGGTTTGCGGGCCTGTAGCATATTGCGCGGTGCCCCGTTCCCTTCTGCATGTCAGCCTGGCCAAAGGAAACCACGCATCAATGCAGACGTGTGTCTTTCACTCCCTCCCCGTGTTTGCATCCTAGTGTTTATGTTTGATACAGAGGGGGTTGATCACAAGGTTGCGCCATCAGCGGCTTGCATGCACGGCGCAGTCCAGCCGCGGGGGTCTATTGCTGACAATTTAGCCACTATTTGGGTCTTCATGCTGACCTATGCTTTTGTGTGCTTCTTGCTCCCAGGTGCTACGCCCGCCTGCACCCCCGCGCTAAGAACTGCCGCAAGAAGTCGTGCGGCCACACCAACCAGCTGCGCCCCAAGAAGAAGCTCAAGGTTGGTATTTTGCGGGAATGTCCGAGCCTGTCGGTTGGCTAAGATGGGTCTGAGAAGGCTTTCAAACGTGATCTAGACAGGCGCGTACATGTTGATCTACATCCCTTGGTACTATTGCTGTCATGGCTATCATGGATTCTTAATTACCGTTGCTTACCCCCTTTTCTCGTGCCATTGCAGTAAACCTTGGGCCTAAAGCTTGAGATGCGGCGGGTCCTGGTGGAGTGTTCTTTACCCTGGAGCCCCTCACGAAAGCGGCAGTAGCAGACTGTAGCAGACTAGCGGTGACGGAATGCTGTGCTTGCTGCCTGTCTGCGTCTGCTGCTGCGCACGGCGGCACCAGGACTTGCTTTTGAGCAAGGCTGAGCAGCTGCCCTGTGGTGATGTGGTGGGGTCGCCACGACGCTGAGGAGAGAGAGCGCTTCACTTGGAGCTAGCTGTACGCTTGTAATCCAAGCCAGAGGTTTACATGGTTTCCATATCCCGTCCTTAATTTTCTGCTATGCATGTCCTGACACGGTACTGTGCAGCTACGCCGCCTAGCGTGCAAGTATGTATGACGTTACCCCCTTTAGTAGGTCACGTGTACAGCTTGGCGGTACACGATTTGAGGAGTTACGGTACCAGCACATTAAGAACAGCCTAGCATAACTTCTTGATCAGCAGGCATTCGAATTGTAAACCGTTCAAGTACCACGATACAGCATTCCGAAATGCTTCCATCCCTGCAGCCCCGTGTGTAATTCACTTCACCGTTGCAATGGACAAACGTGAAGGCGTGTCCTCACCCTAGGACAGTATTGACGGCCTTCTACACCCCTAGGCCCGTAACAAAACGGGTTCCTACCATGCTCGCTGGACTAAAGACAAGAATTGGCAAGCATGCGTTCTATCATGAGGCGTCTGCATGGCCTCCCTGTTTAGGCCCTTGTCGTTGCCACTCCCATACAAAGACATGCTGAATTGGAAATACCCAGTAATCCAGGCAAATCCAGTCCTATAAGCTAGGAATAAGGAAAAATATGGTGTCAACATGGTAATCATTGCACGACTTCGCTAGGTAGTATGAATGCTGATGGCGCTACCGCTGCCCTGTTGGTATAAATAGGCACCCTAACGTATTGTCCTAATGCTGGTACACGACAACCCTTTCAAGGCCTACCACTGTCGGCTATGCAGTTCATTTAATCACACGCAACCCCCCTGGACACGGTCGCTCGCTGTCACTCGCTACCTCGCTTTCACTCTACATCCCACTTGGTTATGTGCGCGAGGATTTGCCCCGCTTAGGGTGCTGCTGGGGGGCGACGGGGGCGCACTTGCGGCCTCCTGCATGGTGGTTAGCCTTAAAGGCGTCAAAGCTATCTCCGTCGAACGATAGGTAGCCGCCCGCGTCTGTAGAGGACACCGCGATGCGCCAGGGCCGGTACTGATGCGCATCTCCCTTCGAGCTTCCAGGCACTCTTCACCATCCACGCCCACCACCACCACCACCCATTCCAGTGAGGCGCCTAGGCCGAGCTACTAGATCAGCGGCGGCAACCAGCCCTGACACTGCTTTGTATTACTACCGTTACATGGTGTGGGCTGCGCTTTGCGGCGTTTGTCCAGCGGTGTTCAAGTGTAGGCAACTGATGGCCTGTTGCTGGCACCGTAAGCGGTGCGAAATATTTAGGCATCGTGTCCACAGTTCCCGTCCCGACCCAGTTCTTCTTCCTGTGCAATCAGCACGGATACAACGATGCCGCGGCAAGCTGCGATGAGACACCGTAAACGCATCTCTGTCGGGTTGGATACAGCAGCGTGCGTTACTAACTTGCCAGAATTGTATAAGGCTTGGCGAAAGCAAGGATGTAAGGCGGCTCGCAGGGGCTGGGACGAGGAAAGCCGTTAGATTTCGGTCGCAAGGCGGGCTGCATGCGCCATGCAGGATTTGCTGTCGGACACGTTGTACGGCGGCGCCCACGGCGGCCGCCGCCGCCGCCGTGCGGCGGCGGTGCACCTTCTTCAGCCCTTGGCCGCAAATTCTGTGCACTTTAGGCAACTACTCATATCCCCGCGCCTTCGTGCACTCGTGATTATTATTTATTCTCCGGACAGCTCCAAAGGTATTGCTGCATATTTATGCCAAGCCGGTAAGCAGCCCCGACCCTGGCAAGCAACTCGTCGCCGGCCCCGTGCTGCTCTCAGCAGTCCCAATACGCAAGATCCAGAGTTTTACGCCTTCCTTAACTCTTGAATGTTTTGCAAGATGCCTGGCCATCCAGCCGGCCCCACGCCCTCAGGCGGCCGGGATCAGACCAAGCCCCTGGCGCGGCCCGTGAAGCCCAACTCGTAAGCCAAACGCGCGACCTCCTTACTTTATAGGATGGCATAGTTTCATTGTCTCGAATTACAATTACTTTAGTAGGATGGCATCAAATAATTGTTTCATTGTCGCGGACTGTAAGATGGCATTGTGAATTGTTTCGGTAAAGAAAACGCTTACCTTTCGCTTGCTGCTTGTCCTTGTCCTTGAGCGCGCACAGCAAGTAGTGTACGCAATAACCAGGTTGTAATGGACGTGCTTGCCATATTTGCGATCTGGGTCACGCTGAAAATCTTCAGTTTCCGCTTGCTGAGCCAGTACTGACCCTTGGGTCGCGATGCAAGCTAGACACCAGCACCCGTTTACCCACGGCGCCCCCTGCTGCACTCTTAAGCAGCAGCACAATTACCTTCCTACCTCTCCTCCTCCAACCTCTTCTTCCCTCTCTCCTCCCCTTTCCTTTCCTCCCTCCCACAGGCCTCCCTTCCCGTTAATGCGCCCAACCGACTCCACCGCCTCGGGCTTCGTGGTGGTGGCTCCGCTCCCTGCACGCCGCAAGCTCACCGACGACGCGCCCGCCGTGGCCAACCAGGTAGGTGCGGGTGACGCTGTGCAAGCACGGCAGCGCGCGCAGGGTCCCGGCACGAGTGGTGGGGCACACGAGTGCGAGGTGGCAGAGCTGAGATGAGGGGAAGAAGGGGTGGGTGGGGAGGGGGAGGGGAAAAAAGAAATTCCAAAGTGTGGTGTGATAATGATAGAGGGGGAGGGGGAGGGGGAGGGGTCTCAAAAGGAGTTGGGGGCAAAGGGGAGCGTTGCTGAAAAGTGGGAGTCATCGTCTATGGCGCTCTTACATCTGTACTGGACAGTCAATGGGGCTGATGTTAAAAGCGCTTTCATATCCTGGCTGTCCTGCCCTGCTTCGATTCCTATAGCCATTCCCAACATCCTTCCTCCTTCCCCCTCTCCTCCTTCCCCCTCTCCTCCTTCCCCCTCTCTTCCTTCCCCTTTTCCCCTCCCCTCCCCCCCAGGTTTGGGAGCACGACGGCGGCATGGCGGCCCTGGAGGTGGGCGATACTCCTTGCATGCCGGGGCGCGTCACCGAGGTGGGCTCCCAGCGGGGCAGCGACCACGCGTGCAGGACGTGGCGGGAGGGGTAGTTGGGTTTAGGGATTGTTGGGATAACGGTTGGGTTTACTATTGGGATTGAAGGCTCGGATGACCCATGGATCGCTGACGACCCTGTGGGGCACGGAAACGACTAGGCCGTCTTGTTCATCTATCGAGTGCTTTCCGGGTTGGACTTGTGTTCTTAATGCTCTGCATGGTATTCTTTCTGGCTTTGGTGGTAAGTTGCTAACCGCTTTTGCCTTTCGCCCGACCCGCTAGCCTCTACGAAACCCCCCCCCCCTTTGCTCTGCGCTCGCCGCTCCTTCCCTGCTGTCGTCCCGCCGGATGCGCGCCTTGCCGCAGACCCTACAAACCGTGCATCCGCCACCAGAACACCGGCAGCAGCGAGGCGGACGGCGCCCCCATGTTGGTTGACAGGCCGCCGGCGCCACCAGGAGTCCTGGCGGGGCGTGAAGGCACGCCGGTCCAGCCTGCACTCCATGCTGTCTGGCGAGGTTTCCATGTTGACGCCTGAGCTAGTGGTGAGCGTGGGCTGCCTGGGATTGAGACATGCAATACGCTTTGCTGTAATGCGATGTCATACCAGCTCCCGCTTATTTATTCTCGTCATCCCTTACCCTGCGCAGGATCCCGAGCCCATGGCCTTCACGCACATGCGCCCGGCGCCCGTGGCAGTGCCTGCAGCTGATCAATCAGAGGCAGTCTCCGCTAAGGGTGACAGCTGTGATCAGGAAGCGCATGCGCCTCTGGACGTGGCGTTGGAGACGCCGCCGAAGCCCCAGCGCGAGGTGGGTGCGTGCATGGGTAATCTGGGGCCAACATGTGTTACTTCCCCTCAACATGCCTTTGGCTAGCTTGCAAGAGCATGAGTCTACCGTACTTTCTTTGAAACGCTTCCCTCTTGACAAACAAGAACTGGTATGAGTTGTTGACTGCGCTTTGGTGTCCTGCTTTGCTTCTACAGGACCTGAGCTGGCTGTTGGACAGCAGCCCGTGCGCCAGCCTCGCTGCCACACCATACGGCTTTACGGACGCCGGCAACGGGCAGGATTGGAGCTTTCCGGTTGACGATCCCCAGGACGGCAGTGTCCCTCTGGACTCAACCTTGGGCAACACCTTCGGTTTAGGTGGCGGCGGCGGGAGTGCGTCACCGCCACCTAAACCGAAGGCGTTGCCCAAGGTTGAGTCCAGAGGGACACTGCCGTCCTGGGGATCGTCAACCGGAAAGCTCCAATCCTGCCCGTTGCCGGCGTCCGTAAAGCCGGTAAGCTGTCAGATCTGTCAACGTATTCCATTTAGATACCCATCGATAAGGGCAAATTGCGCTGAGTGAACAACAACATTCCAGTAATGCGCTTGACAGGTAACGGCTGGCGAGTTGGTCGGGATGTTGCAAGTGTGGCATGGGTGATCAAATTGGCCCCGTGATTAACCCTGTTTGGCGTCCTGTCAGTGGCTCCCTGTCTGCTGGTTACTAAGGACACCTCCCTTGAAAATGTTGTGAGAATGCGTGTAGTAGCTCTGCTGAGAAGAAGTGACCTACCAACCGCCATTTGCATTTGACGGTAAAGGTGTTCTTGACGGTAAAGGGCTGCGGCGCTGACGGCGCATATTTCTGGTTCTCGTCATCTATTAAACGTCTGGCCTACTATTACTGCAGGCATCCCCCCTGACCAGCAGCGTCTGATCTTTGCCGGCAAGCAGCTGGAGGACGGCCGCACCCTGGCCGACTACAACATCCAGAAGCGTGAGGACGTGGAGTCGCTGTCTTGGCGGTTAACTACTAGAAGTTATTTAGTTTGGTCGGAAAACTCAGCGTACGGATATGTGCTGGTGGCAGTCAGCAAGGCAGCATGCCGGCGATCGGACGCTGTATGTTACCTGGAGCCTTTCGGTCAGCGGGTGTTCTCCAGGAATGGCGCCTCGCAGCAGCTGAATGTCCGTCGGCTTATCGGAGCAGCGCTTGGAAGCACTGCCGGGCTGCTTCCATGCCAGCGCCAGGACTGGCATTTGTTGACGTCATGGTGCTTTTGGAGACAGCGGCAGCTTACGTTCCGGCTTGGAACGGCACTAATGGGGTTCCTTTAAAGTGCACCAGCAGCAGCAGCAAACAATGCTTTGGATGTGGTACCAGGGCTCATCCCCACGTGGCTACCAGGTTCCCCGTCCTGTTCAGGCGCCAGCATCCCTGCATCTCAGACGTCAATCCTCAGCGCTGATGCCGACAATCCTGCGGGGCACAGTTACCAGCCTTCCCTGCGCCCCTAAGCACGTCTTCCTCTAGCCCATATTCTTTCCTCACCACCCGTGCCCATTCCGTTGCTTTGTCCCCCACAGAGTCTACGCTCCACCTGGTGCTCCGTCTGCGTGGTGGCATCATTGAGCCCTCGCTGCAGGCCCTGGCTCGCAAGTACAACCAGGAGAAGGTCATCTGCCGCAAGTGAGTAGTTGAATCCTCATGAGCTAGTGGGGTAGGGTTGGGCACGGTGAGCAGGTCCAGGAAGCCACGAAAACCTCATGTACGCATCAGTGCAGACGCGTATGTCTTTCCTTCCCTCCCCGCGTTTGCATCCTAGTGTTATGTTTGGTTCCGAGCGGGCTGAGCACAAGATTGCGTCATCAGCGGCTTGCGTGCACTGCACAACTCAGCCGCGGGGGTCTATCGCTGACCATGAGCCACTATTTGGGTCCTCATGCTGACCTCTGCTTCTCTGATTTTTTGCTCCTAGGTGCTACGCCCGCCTGCACCCCAGCGCTAAGAACTGCCGCAAGAAGTCGTGCGGCCACACCAACCAGCTGCGCCCCAAGAAGAAGCTCAAGGTTGGTATTTTGTGGGAATGTCCAGAGCCTGTCAGTTGGCTAAGATGGGTCTGAGAAGGCTTGCAAACGTGATTTAGACAGGCGCGTACATGTTGATCTACATCCCTTGTACTATTGCTGTCATGGCTATCATGGATTCTTAATTAGCGTTGCTTACCCCCTTTTTCTCGTGCCATTGCAGTAAACCTTGGGCCTAAAGCTTGAGATGCGGCGGGTCCTGGTGGAGTGTTCTTAACCCTGGAGCCCCTCACGAAAGCGGCAGTAGCAGACTGTAGCAGACTAGCGGTGACGGAATGCTGTGCTTGCTGCCTGTCTGCGTCTGCTGCTGCGCACGGCGGCACCAGGACTTGCTTTTGAGCAAGGCTGAGCAGCTGCCCTGTGGTGATGTGGTGGGGTCGCCACGACGCTGAGGAGAGAGAGCGCTTCACTTGGAGCTAGCTGTACGCTTGTAATCCAAGCCAGAGGTTTACATGGTTTCCATATCCCGTCCTTAATTTTCTGCTATGCATGTCCTGACGCGGTACTGTGCAGCTATTAACGCCGTCTCGCATGCAAGAATGTATCGCGTTACCCCCTTTAGGTCATGTGTACGCTTGGCGTTACACGGTTAGTCGTTAGAAATTAGTTGCCCCCAGTAGCACTTACGGTATCAGCACAGTAAGAAAAGCCTAGCACAACTTCCTTCTTGACCAGCAGGCATTCGAACTGTACACCGTACAGATACTGCGTTACAGTATTCCGAAATGCTTCCATCCCTGCAGCCCCGTGCGTTATTCACTAAACCGTTGCAATTGACAAACGTGAAGGCGTGTCCTCACCCTAGGACAGTATTGACGGCCTTCTACACCTCTAGGCTCGTACACAAAACGGGATCCTATGCGCGCTAGACAAAAGACAAACGAATTGGTAAGCACGCGTTCTATCATGAGGCGTCTGCATGGCCTTCCTGTTTAGGCCCTTGTCGTTGCCACTCCCATACAAAGACACGCTGAATTGGGAATGCCCAGTAGTCCAGGCAAGTCTAGTTCTAGAAGCTAGGAATAAGGAAAAATATGGTGTCAGCATGGTAATTGTTGCACGACTTCGCTAGGTATGAATGCTGATGGCGCTACCGCTGCCCTGCTTCGGCGTTGGTGTAAACAGGCACCCTAACTTACCGATATTGTCCTAATGCTGGTACACGACAACCCTTGCAGGGCCTACCGCTGTCGGCTACGCAGTTCATATAATGTCACGCAACCCCCGCGAACACTGTCGCTCGCTGTCACTCGCCACCTCGCTTTCACTCTACAGCCCACTTGGTTGTGTGCGCGAGGATTTGCCCCGCTTAGGGTGCCGCTGGGGGGCGACGGGGGCGCACTTGCGGCCTCCTGCATGGTGGTTAGCCTTAAAGGCGTCAAAGCTATCTCCGTCGAACGATAGGTAGCCGCCCGCGTCTGTAGAGGACACCGCGCCGCGCCAGGGCCGATACTGGTGCGCATCTCCAGCATCGCCGTCAAAGGATAGCAAGTAGGCAGGGTCGCGCCCTGCAACAGGGCCCTCCAGCTCCTCCACGGAAGGCATGTGTAAGCGAACGGGACCCGGGTGTACCGCCGGGCCTGGAACCATGGTTTGAGGAAGTACAAGAAAGTTAAGAGGCAGGTGTGGTTTACCGATAAACTTGGCCTGAGACGGAGGAGTAGGATTGCGGAAGGGAAAGGCGTGCGTGGTAAACTGTTACAGCGCCAGTTACGCAGTTGCCCAGTGGCCGGATGGTAAGGCATTTAACGTCCTGCCCTTCGTTACCTGGCTTGCGGCTTTCTAGATGGGCGGCATGAGGACCCATCGCCCCTGGCGCACGCGGTACTGCTAGGCTGCAGTGCATAGTGTTGCTATAACAACTCTGATATACTTTGAATTGCAAGCTAGCCGAGAAATAAGGAAAAAAGTGGGACACGGCCTAGAAGCTTACAAGGGCGACGTATATTTAGGAGCGACAAACTATTTGAAGCATTGGTTATCTATATATGTAAGGCTCCCGGAGTCATGGGTTCTCTATAAATTGCGCATGGCTTGACCGCGCAACTTCTCACCGTACTTGCTTGCGGTTGTTTCTGTTGGGAGATGCGTATTACGCAGCCATCTCTGGTCCAAAGCGTGGACTTCAAGTACGCACAATACGTATCTACATATGCCGTCAAGGGCTAACCCTTGGCAAGCGCTTGTTTTGCCAATTACAAATCAGTAAAGAAAGCCGGCTTCTAAAATTACTAAGCCAATAACTTAATGCTACCAATGCACTTTGTACATCTTTTATTTATCAACGAGATCACATAGACACCCAGCGCCTCGTGCATCCTTTAGGCCATCGCACGCACCGGCTGCCTTTTCATTCTCTTGTCATCACCATGAATCGTGACGGGGGACTGAGCACTATAATGGCGCGTATAGCTTGGGGCGCATAGCGGCCGTGGGGCTGGGAGAGTGCATAAACCACTCCATTGCACCCTCCGGTGCACCAAAGGAAAGCTCGGCAGCCGCAGCCCCTGCGGCCCCTGCACCATGAACACCTGGCGGGAGGGGCAGGTGGGCGCGGAGGCGGTGACAGGAGGACCAGGCGGACCCTTGACCATCATTCGGCCATCATGTCGCCTGGGGGGCGCCAAGCAGCACCGCGTGGTCATGGTCAGCGGTGGGTCGGGCCGTTAGGGCGCGCAGCTTGGTCGGGGCAACGGCGAAGTACTAACCATGTGACAAGCAAGGCTCCGCCATGGGTTGCATCTTGGTTGGGGAGGGGCTGGCCCTTCCAGCCGATAGTGTTGGTTAGGTGTTTAAGTAAGGACGGAATCATTCTTATGCGCCATGCCGTACAAAGCTGAAGTATAACACGAAGAAGCAGCACGCAGACGCACCAAGGGGTCCGCAACTTATGCCCGCCGCAACAACCCAACGCAACCCTGCTCCCCTCTCCACCTGCCCCCGCCCCCTCCCAGACTTCTTCTACCCCAATTTCGGCGGAGTGGAGAACCACATCTACCAGCTCTCGCAGTGCCTGCTGTGCCTGGGACACAAGGTGGGGCGGAGGAACGGGAGGCGGGGCGGGGAGTAGGGGATGGGAAGGAGGGGGCCAGAGAGGACGGGAACGGCAAGCGGGAAGGGGAGGAGGAGGGTGTCGGGATGGGCAGGAGGCTGAAGGGTACCGGGTAGTTGCTAAGGGAAGGTAGGAGGGAGGAAGGGGGCGGCTGGAGGAAAATACATGGAACATAGTTTGTAGAGCGCACGGCAGTGTTTTGGTGCTTTCGGCATTAGTTGTTGTGAACGCGCCAGACCGTCAAGGCCCTTCTCCTTTCCTCTTTCCTTGCGAAACAGGTGGTGGTGGTTACGCATGCGTACGGAGACTGCAAAGGAGTTCGTTACCTCACTAACGGTCTCAAGGTAAGGTTACTGGAGCGCAAGAAGCAGGGCATGTCGACCGACCGGCGCTGGATCTCGAGCGCATCCCTTGCCTTTCTTTACCCGCACCTTTTCCCCTTCCCCACCCCCAGCGGAATACTATCCCCCATCCCCCATCCCCCACCCCCCCACCCCCAGGTGACGGACCGGCTACCATGTTTGCACCCCATGGTGAAGCCTTGTCATACAGCTCGTCAGTTGCTTCGTCAGTGTCTCATCATATATATTTTTTTTACCCCCAGGTCTACTACCTGCCCCGCCTGCCGCTCTACCAGTCCGCCACCGCGCCCTCCCTGCTGGGCGCCACCCGGCTGCTGAGGGCGATCTGCGTGAGGGAGGGGGCCACACTGCTGCATGGGCACCAGGTAGGCGGGAGGAGGAGGAGGGAGGGAGGGAGGAAGGGAAAGGAGGATACGATGCGTTGGACTAGGTGTGACAAGAGAAGGGAGGAGGGGCCCGACCTGCTGCATGGGCACCATGTAGGGAGGGAACGTCCATCTGCATCATGGGAGGGAGGGAGGGAGGGTACAACAGGCGGGAGGGTACCTGACAACAGTAACTGAAAGGAGGGAGGGAGGGGCACAAAGCGTAGCAGGAGCATGGAGGAGCATGAAGGGCTGCTTCCCTCTGGCCAGTCTCTTTCCCACCTCCTCCAGCCTCCTCCGGTGACCTGCGGGTCGTCCTCCACCCACATCCCTCCTTCCGCTCTTTCCTCCCCTCCCCGCGTTCCTCCACCCGCAACGCCCCCTCCCTCAGGCCTTCTCCACCATGGCCCTGGAGGCCTGCATCACCGCCCGCAGCCTGGGACTCAAGGTGGTGTTCACGGACCACTCGCTGTTCGGATTCGCCGACCCCGCGTCCATTCTGCTGAACAAGGTGGGGTGAGCGCGTGAGGTAAAGCAGGTAAAACAAGCTGCGCTCTGTGTGGATACCGGTATACGGGGATACAGGGATACAGGGATACGGGAATAGGGGGATACGCGTTAGGGAGGCGGCTGAGGGGGGGTGATGCAACGCAGATCAGGAAGGAGGACCGGGCCCATGCGCAACCGTGGTGTAACGTCCACCCCCGTGTCAAGATCGGCAAGGCTAGGCTGTCGGCATCTAGCCCTCTTCCTTCTCCTTGCGACTCGCGGCCAGTATTCTTAACACGCATGCTTCATGCACGCTCCCCTCAGCTCCTCCTGCGGCCTACCTCGGTACCACTCCTGCACATCCGTACCCACTCTGGTCGCCTGACAACCCCCGCTTCTTTCCGTGCCACCCGCCGCCCAACCCCTTCCCCTCCCCCTTCCCCCCCTCCCCCATGCAGGTGCTCAAGGCGGTGCTGTCCGACGTGCACGCCGTCATTTGCGTGTCGCACACCAGCAAGGAAAACACGGTGCTGCGGGCATGTCTGAGGCCCGCGGAGGTGTACGTCATACCCAATGGTAGGGGAGTGGGGGGGCTATAGAGGAAAGAACAAACTGACAGCGTGGTGAGGCGTCATCATGATAGGGGAGAGGGGAAGTGGGAAAATGGACACGGAGCTGCATAAAGAGGAAACCCCGAACGAAGCCTGGAGTCGCTTGCCGTTACCTTCCTAGCTCTTACCAGCCTCCTCTGCTTCCCCCCTCCCCGTTACTCCTCAGCGGTGGACGCCTCCCAGTTCACCCCCGACCCACTCGCCCGCTGGCCCGCGTCCGCACCCCCCCGGGACACCCGGGGGACTGGCAACACCAGCGGCATCACCAACACCAACACCACCGGCGCTGGCACCGCCGGCACTTCACCCAAACAGGGGCAGGAGCAACCACCGCCGCCTCCGCCGTCCTCATCGCAGACGCCGACACCGCCGCAGCAGCCCCAGCAACACCACCACCAACAACAACAACAGCAGCAACAACAACAGGAAGAACAACAAGAGGAGGAGGAACCGGAGGTGGTTGTTATCGTGTTGTGTCGTCTGGTGTACCGCAAGGGGGTGGACCTGCTGGGGCTGGTGCTGCCGGAGGCGTGTGCGCGCTGGCGGGGGCTGCGGGTGCTGGTGGGGGGGGAGGGGCCCAAGAGGGCACTGCTGGAGAAGGTGGGAGGGGGGGAGGGGGGAGGGAGGGGAGGAGGGGGCAGGAGATGCGTAAGGAAGGGCAGGGAGGAGTCGGAGGAGTCGGAGGGGTCGGGTTTCACTGTGATTTCGACTGCAAGAGTTCCAAAGAGGAATCTAGATTGCCCAGAAGCACTACCGGTATAAGGGGCTCACGCGGACCCTCAGGCTACCCTACCTCCACCCGCCCTTTCGGCGCCCTGTGCCATGCCGTACCCTCTCCGTGTTCCCACCTGCCTTTCCACCTTCCCCCTGCCACCTCCCCTCCTAACCAACCTCACCCCACCCCAACAGGTCATCTCCGACCACGGGCTGCAGGGCCGGGTGACACTGGCGGGGGCGGTGCCGCACGAGCGGGCCAGGGACTTCATGGTGAGGGAAGGGGGAGGAGTACTTACACAGGATTACCCCAGTGCTCTCTATCCTCATAGCACCCCCTTGCACCCAGCGGCTCTTCCTCTCCTTCCCTCCCTCCCGTTGGCTGCCTCCCCCTCCGCCCCACCTCCCTCTTCCTCTTCTCCCCTCCCCTCCTCCACCCTCCCTCTCCCCCCTGCTTCACTTCTCATTCAATCCCCCCCCTGCCCCCCTGGCCCGCCCCCCAGGTCCGCGGCCACATCTTCCTGAACGCCAGCCTGACTGAGGCCTTCTGCATGGCGCTGGTGGAGGCGGCGGCGGCGGGGCTGGTGGTGGTGTCCACCGCAGTGGGGGGCGTGCCGGAGGTGAGGAGGGAAGGGGGAGGGGAGGGGAGCGGAGGGAGCGGGGGAGGAGGCGGGAAAGGGAAGGTGTTTTACCCGCCCATCCCATCGCTAACACTTCCCCGTTCCTGTCTTCCTACCGTACTGTCCTCCTGCTACTCCTACTCATGCCGTGGAAGTCTGTTAGCCGCCCGGCCTCCTCAAACAGGTGACCTGTGGTCTCCTGTGGTTTGGTATGGTCTTTGACCCCGCCCCCCCGCCCCCCAGGTGCTCCCCCCGGACATGATCGTGCTGTCGGAGCCATCAGCGGAGGGACTGCTGGTGAGGCGGTGAGGGGGATGGGCATGCTTTGGGCAGCTGGGTAATGCAGTATACCCCTACTGATGGTATAATAGCCCTACAAAGATCTCGACGAGTAACCCCACAAACGGCTCCCCATCCCCTCCCCAGGACGCCCTCGAGCGGGCGCTGCAGCGGGTGCCGTACCAGCGACCCGCGGAGCAGCACGCTCGAGTACGGCAAATGTACGACTGGAATGACGTGGCTCGCCGTACAGTGGGGGTGTACGACAGTGTGGCGGCGTCGGAGCGGGATGACAGTCTGCCTGCCAGGATGCAGCGGTAAGAGGGGTAAAGGGGTGCGGGGTAAGGGAAACTCGGCTGCTGCTGGGAAGTCTCATACCTCGCCTCATACCCCTCCTTCCCTCCCTTCCTCTCTCTTCCCTATCCCCATTCCTTTGCCCTAACCTGTGGTTTTGGGACATCTCCTCCTCTCCCACGCCTCTCACCCCCTCTCCCCACCTCTCTCTCCCCCCCTTCCCAGCTACCTGGCCGCGGGTCTGTGTGTGGGTTTGCTGTTTTGCTGCATCGCACTGCTGAGTCAGCTGCTGCTGGGGTGGTGCGAGTGGAGGTGCCCGCGGGAGAGGGTGGAGCGGGCGCCGGATTGGAGGTGCGGCGGCTGCAGCGGCAGCGGCTGGGGGGCAGCAGGGGAAGGAAGGGGTGGTGGAGAGGAGGGCGGGGGCGGGAAGGAGGAGGGTTGCGGCAACGAGGGAAGGAGCCGGTGCGGCAAGGCTGTTGGGCTTGGTGGTGGTGGGGGCGGCTTAACCGCTGGTGAAGGCAGCGGCGGCGGCGGTGGTGCTCACGCCAGCAAAAGCCGTCGCAGCAGCAAAAGCCGTCGTAGCAGCAGCGGAAGAAGAAGCGGCAGCAGCCACGCAGGTGTATATGGAGGCAGTGCGCCCCCGTTGTGCCCTGCTGGCAGCACTGCTCCTCTTCCTCCTCCTCCTCCTCTGGTGCGGCTGCGAGCCGAGTGCCGAGGCGGGTTGCAAGTGGAGGTACGGCAGGAGGGAGGGTGCGAGGTACGGCAGGAGGGAGGGTGCGAGGTACGGCATGAGAGAGGATGCGAGGTACGGCACGGCAGACATGATGGAGTACATAAACAGCAGCAGCCTCAGCAGGAGGAGAAAGAGGAGGAAAAGGGCACGGCGACGGCGGCGGCTGGGGGCGCGGATGCGGATGCGGGTATAGGAGAAGAGCAGGGGAGAGGGAGGAAAGAGGAGGAGGAGGCGAGTGCAGCAGGGACGGAGGAGGGTGAGTGGAGTGTTGTGGAGGGGCGGTGGCAGCGGCGGCGGGGCAGGGGCCGGCGGAGAGGAGGGTTGGAGGGAGCCGGCGGGAAGGAGGGTGGTGAGGATGGCGCAGGGGCGGCCGATGGAGGGCAAAGGCATGGTTGATGGGGGTTGATGGTTGTGTAGCAGCTGTGGTCTGGACCCTGAGGCTGGGTTGGCATGTGGCCCTGGCCCAGGGCATCTCTGTTCCTTACAGCGTCCTTGGGCCCCTCTGGGCTCGTACGGCTCGTACACACTCACGTACAGATTGCAAGAAACTTGCGATCTCACGGCCTCTCGTCCGACGTGGGCTGCTGTATGAAGCCACACCTACCTAAAGACGCCTTGGACACGTAGGATTATGTGTCCAAGCGCGGGGCTCAATTAGTTGCGCCATGCGTGCCGCGGCGCTTCAGATCCACACTGGCCCGTGGGTCGCTTGTTCACGCTATCGACCGTGACACACCATGGTCCGCACTACGCTACCCTGTAATGGGTAGTGCAGTAGCAGAAACAGACACAACATGACGACGGCGGCTACTCGTCGGTGGTTAGGAATTCCGGGGCAGGAACTTGATGCGAAACGCTTCTGTGTTTTGAGCGGGCTGCTCGGGTTCTGGGAAGGCTGGGAGCAGACAGGTGTTCGGGCGCATAGCGTAAGAGCATATACGGCGGCAGGGGAAAGGTTAGGTGTTACAATTTAGGCGGAAACGGTAGGAACAGATAAAATGCAGCTTGAGCAAGGCACACCATTAGGATGTCCATACAACAGTACGATCATGTACGACTGACTACGACTGTCTACCGGAGCTCCATGACGCCCTTAGAAACCTGTTATCGACATGACTAAGCAACAACAGGACAATTCTACGCAAACTGCACCGCAAAGGATGAATGCGGATCACAACACCTTGTACGCCACAAAATCTACAGATGAGGACCGTCTTAACTGTTAAACCTTGCATGGGAATTGTACGCCGACAGCTGCCCCCCCCCACCACCACTTGCATGCATTCCAAAAATTCCCCCACGACTTGCATAGCGTACTTTGCATAATCACTCCACAGTACGTCCTCATAACAATAATGCTGCCAAGTGCCAAGTACCGGTAGTACATCGATTCCTCATCCGCCCCCCTCCCATCAATCGGTTATCTTGCTGCGTTGCCGGTGCCGGCTGCCCTTGGACCTTGTCGTATGTTCCTAGTAGCACTTGCCGGGCTTATCCAGCTTTAGGGTGTACTTGTAGGTGTTGCCGCCCTTGACAATCTCAACCGACATCACGCCAGAGGCACCGTTCCAGGCTCCCGTGCCGCCGGTGATGGCCAGATCGAACTTGCGGCCCTGGGGACGGGGACGGCCGGGCAGCAGCCAACAGCAGCAGAAGCGGGGTGTTGCGGCGTGCGTGCGTGGTACATGCGTGGGAGGGAGTTGGGATAACCTAACACGAAGCAGCAGCGCATGTTAACGAAGGTGTATGGGAAGGCGATGGGGGCGTTTGTAGACGGGAGACGGGCTGGTAGGTACCGTTGTCAGCCAGCAGCAGCTGGACATGCATGCATCGCATGCAAGTACATGCAAGTGCGCTTGCATCCATGCGGCTGGCTCCCGATCGAGACCTGCCTCCCATTGGACACCCAGCCTCTTCTCTCCTCAGCCAGACCTCACCGTGTAATCGTCAAAGGTGCCCTGCACCGTCACGGTTCCCAGACCCTCGAAGTCCACACTATACACGCAATAGGCGGTGCCTCCCTTGGCGTCCGCCGCTAGGATGGTGCAGATACCGTTGGTGCGGCCGATCTGCGGGCATGTGCAGCAGGTACCGGTGTGGTTGTAGGGTATGTGGCATGGCAGGACATACAACGGCAACGCGGACATCCAGCACGGCAATCACAGTACGTTCCGCCTCGCGGCCAGTATCCTTAACATACACAACGCAGCGGGAGGAAGGGGGACGGAGTTGGATGGGGAGACAGTTACAGCCAAGAGCTGGGGTAGGTGGGCTAGGAACCACAGGAGAGGGGAAGTTAATGCAGCAGCAATAGCAACAGCAGCAGCAAGCCCAGTAGCTGGTGCTGGCTTACCTTCTTGCCCTTGAACACGTCGCCCAGAACAAAGGGCGTGAAGAATCCCTTGGTGCAACCCACATTGGTGCAGCCCCTGCGCACGGCAGACGATCGATCCATCCATGGGACAGTGGCGGCAGGTAGGCGTTGGGTGTGCGGGTGATCTGTTTGGCTGTTGCTGCTGACACATGCAACAGCGACTGGCACAGCTGATACGTGGCCAATGCAACAACACACTTGCATTGCAACGAAGCTATGCTTACGGGTTTCTACAAGCAAGAGGATGTGCTGTGAGTTTGGGGCACGCACGTTCTAGGCAAGTTCCAGGACGCGCATTCCTTGGAACAGTCGAGTAGATCCTTGATGACAACAGGAGCAATGAGA